GGTGGTACTGTCAGTGTTTTTGATCATTGGATACATATATAGATTATGTTGTGTGGATAATTTACGGTAACTAATACTGACGGAATGATGAGGATCACTTCCGCATCACGGAACTATTCCGTCAATGGGACTGTAGTAGTTCCCTGGAATTGTAGGTCACATGTCAAAACTTTCCATGATCTTTCAACCACAAATTCATAAATAATGGTATGCTAATATCTTGTGTCTTACCATAACAATATATGACAATGTCAATTTGTCCTATAATTTCATTTATTTTTTCAAGATGTACCGTCACTAATTAGTCTACCTTTGGATCCATGGGGTAGGGCCCACAAGAGTACCCAAGATTATACCGAGGATGATTGAATGTGATTTTGAGTTTGTTATTTAACACTAATGATTAAAATGTAATAATGATTATAAATATTGATGTGGTGTAAAAGTATGAGAAAGATAATTGTAAACGATGTCGTAGTTAAAAATATGTGAGTGATTGGATAGTGAATTTGGTTGACGTAATGTGTGAGAATGGTTGATTTATATTCATTAATTATATATATATATTGATAAAAAAAACATGAAATTTAAGTTGGATAGAAGTTGAGTAGAACTTTTAAGTTAGGCTGCGCAAAATAGAAATATGGAATTGTGAAAGTTAAGATTTTCCATGTAATTACATATGAAACAAAAAAAAATTACAAAATTGCACTGTTATTTTTATATATTTTTTTTCTCTACTGTATAAATACAGTTAAAGTACTGTTATATCATTACATTATTTCTCTGCAGTATAACTAAATACAGTTAAAAATACAAGTCATTCATTATTATATATATTTCAATTAAATTCACATACTCACATAATTAACAAACGATTAATTAATACTACTTAACTATGCATATATCATATCCACTCTAATTAGTATATGTTTTATTTTATATCTATTCAAAAACATAACAATATCTATTTAATTTTTTTTTTTTTTCTACCTTTCCATCTTCAATGGCAAAAAAACCAAAAAAACAAATCGAAAAAAAAATAAATCATATGCTAACGAAAAATTATTTATGTTCTCGTTCAGAAACAAAAATATTGAATTTATCTTATTCACTTACATAAATATATGAGTAGTGCTATAGTAAAAATTAGTATATTTTGAAATTAAAAAAAAAAAATTATTAAATAGAATTTATTGATAAATGGTGTAATTTGTCAACATAAATTACGATGGAAAAAGTTCACGTCACGTGTGGTGTGATGAGCCACTGTTGGGCCAGTATTCGATGTTGGTCAGTTAAAATTATTGGGCTCAATTTTCTGTTGGATTCTGTAATATATTATGTTGAGAAAATTGGGTCAGGTTAATGCGGTGGGTTGAGCAAACATTCAGCCCAATACAATGTGGCTGGATTTTAGAAGTTAAACTATATATACAAGTTCAAAATAGATGCAGATTTACCAAGGTATCCACACTTATTCATGTATTATATGTAGGCTTAATTGCACTTAAAATCTTTACTTTTTGTGTAATTGGAAATAAATTCAACCTTTTTTTATCTTTGTATATAAATACCAAACTTTTATTATGTTTTATAATTTTGTCTCAAAACCATTTTCCGGCCAATTTTTGCTGACGTGCCGATTAGAAATCTTACGTGGCATTGATGAGGCTTGTGCGACACTCAATCTTTTAAACTCCTCACCATGTTTTTGCCACATCATTTCGAAAAATTCTGAAAAATTGGGCGAAACGATTTTCTTGTGATTTTAGTGCGATTTTAGTGTTCTGATCGGACAACAAGATTGGTCAGAAAATAAAGAAGCAAATTTGGAAGA